GACAGAGAAGATTGTGGCAGATGGGATAATATAGGAGCAAGTCAGCCATGGAGCTTAGAAATGTTTTATGTGGAGTGAAGTCAGTAGGATAAAGGGAATTTTGTTGGTGTATAGAATGTGCACCATGGTCCAGGCCTGGAGTGTGGGGGTAGATCTTACTGGGTAGAGGTGTTGAATATGGCATTAGAAAGGCATGAGGGATTGGAGCCAGGCCCATCTGGACCTGGTAGAAGTCGAAGTCTAGAGATCTGTGGCAGCATAGGCAGAGGTGGCCAGACTAGCCTAGGGCACAGGATGTGAATGTGGGTCCTAAGCTAGATCTGGAAGGTTGGAGAGAATATGTGGAGGGACTAAAGGATCAGGCATGCTCATCAAGCTAGAACCTAGAGCAGGATCATCTTCTTTTTTTCCCTAAGATTCTCTAGGCCTCATTGAAGAACAGTTGACAGTGAAGCTAGTGATTTACAGAAAACTTAATGACTGGGAAGATATGTCATGTCCTTGACTTAGAACACACACAAGCTTTGACTTCCCCCAGATTGTTTCAAAGATTCAATCCAAAATTGCTAAGAAAAAAATTAGGGGAGTTTTTCATAGAAACTGAGGAATTAGGTTTCTTCTTTACATGGGATGCCAGCATACTTTAGTAACTAAACAGTTTTCTGAGTGAACAGTGTTACAGGACTCACCCTGTCTAAAGATATTTAAGAAAATGTAGCCAAAATCTTGATATCAGTGATAATAGGACATAGATAGATAGATAGATAGATAGATAGATAGATAGATAGATAGATAGATATTATATCAATGTAGCTTAAATAGGTATGACAGGTCCAGACTATATATAATGTCTCATTAATTTTTAACAAAAATGGGTACAATTTAACTGGAAAAGAAAGGTGTTTTGAAGAGGTGGTACCAGTCACCCAACCTTGGCAGTTCATCACAACTGACAGTTCTCACTTTTGTTATATGTAATTTTACTGTGTTAAAGTTAAAACCTTCCTTTTATTTAAACAGAAAAAGGGAGGTGATGTGCAGTTCCCCTCTGTATGCTGTGAATACCTTTGATTAATAAAGAAGTTACTTTGGGCCTATTGTAACACAAAATAGGACAAGACAGAAATTCCAAGCAGATAGAGGAGGAGTGAGTAGGTGGAGTCAAAGAGAAGCCATGTAGCTGCCAGAGGAGACAGACACCAGCAGCAGCACACAGGAACTTTGTTGGTAGGGCATAACCTCGTGGTAATGCACAGATTAATAGAGATGGGTTAATTTAAGATGTAAGAGCTAACTAGCAATATGCCTAAGTGATTGGCCAAGCACTGTTTTTTTTTGTGTGTGTGTGTGTGTGTGTGTGTGTGTGTGCGTGAGAGAGAGAGAGAGAGAGAGAGAGAGAGAGAGAGAGAGAGAGAGAGACAGAGAGATTATTTCAGATCTGGTGAGCTGGAAATGGACGACAGTCTCTCCTAACAACATCCCATTGATTTTTAACAAAAATTGGGACAATTTCATTGGAGAAGAGAGGTTTTGAAGAGGTGTTTCCCTTCACCCAGCCTTGTCAGCTCATCACAAGGGACAGTTCTCACTTTTCAGAGTGTTGGCACCCACTCCCTATAGCATGGTTTGGAAGTAACAAAACAGGTTTCTTATTGTGATGGAGGGCTTAGATGCAAATGCCTAAGTGAGCAGAGAGATCTTCAAACTCAGAAGTAGTACTATGTGGAGAACTTTCCTTATTTGATACTATGGCTTTAAGCCTTTCTATTTTCACCCAAAGCAAAAGATGTAAGAGGATTTAAGCTGAAAAGGAATCCAGCCTGGCCATTTCTCAAATCTTGCCTAAACCAGTGTAGTTCTGAGTAATTCCAGTGTAGTCAGTACCACCTCCATCCTGGAATGCCAGGTGTCAGGACTCTGATTCTTACATCTTTCTTTTATAAGACTATAAAATAGTTTAGAAAAACTAAATTAAAAAGATCACAAATTTGAAAGAATTCTCACATTGCCAGTAGACTCTTATCGCCAAGATGACATAAGCATCATTCTACCTACTATTGGGGTCTAGAAAACATTTCTGAGGGTTTGTGTCAGGGCTGCAGGTGCCTGCTGCACACTGTGCATCTGTAGCACAGAAGTAAACAGCAGTATCTTCAGGCTGCGCAGCAGTGATGAACAGGGAACTGCTCTGGGCAGAAGTGTTCAGAGTCACTCTGAGCCTTCCACTGTGTTTCTCTCTCTCATTTGAACGTACTAAGATTAGCATGGCAGGGCCTCTGCCTGAGTCTTGTCTGTACCACTGTAGGGCAGCTATGGATGTTTTATAAGTGCAGTTCACAGTGACATTTTCACCCTCCTGGATGCTCAAGGCTGAAGGATTCTCTTCTCCTAATTGGCTAGTTACCCCTACATAGACACACAGGACAGAAAACAAAAGTCGGTGGTTACATTTTCAAATGGCATTTCCAGATTAATGAGAAGGCTACATCTCACATATATGTGGACTATGAAGTTTACTGTCCCGGTTACCCTCACCAGAAACCCAAACTCACATGTCAGTTGTAGCCATAGTGTCACTATCAACACTCCCAGGAGTCTGTCCATTCTTCCCATTGAAGAGTAAATCACAAGAAGTGCAACTCTGGGCCAGATCACAAATTGCTTGGTTTTGGAGCATCTGCCTTGAAAAACCTCAGAAGCAAGTTGAAACGCCTCCCGCCCCTCCCCTTCTCTTCTCTCCCCAACCTCACCTCCACCCTCTTCTCCTCCATGCCTCTGATTTCAAAGCAAGGTGGTGTGAAGGCAAGCCCTGACATCTAGTGGTAGCCCCATCATCTTGCAAAGAGAGCATGCAATGGTAAGGAATGTGCACAGCTGAGACTGCAATGCTGTTCTATTCTCTGTCCTTATCAAACTCTTGTTAGAGTTCTTGATTAGCATAGGGAAAGAGAAAGCAAAAAAAAATATGAAAGACTAGATCCTGATATCTACAGCGAAGGACACACACCCTCCTAGAGGAAAGGGGGTGTCTGTGAGAGGAAAGGATAGTAGTGACTCTACAATGTTGGGGAGGATATTGTTTGCATCCATAAGGGCTATAACCATTCTGCATTCTTTTTCTGTGCAAACCTAAATGCATCCACGGAGTTCCAGGACAGTTGCAGGTGCTAACTGCCTACCATGCAACTGAAGGATGATAGGGTAGATCCAATTCTGTATTCTTTATTCCTCTGGTTATTTCTATTATTTTTGTTCTTCATCATTTGCTCATCTTAGAATCTTATTGGTTACTAAGAAAATTGTTTATTGTTGAGTAATTTGTCTATTATTTCCACAGGTCTCCATATTATTCTGGCTTGCTTACATGTATGCAATATCCTATTAGAATCTTCTGTAATACAGACTTGGATATCACAGATTGTTATCACTACTTAGGACAGATCTTCATAACTCTTAATTTTGAAAAAAGATTTTCTTGATATAGTAATCTCAGTTGATAGCAATTGCTTCCTTTCAGGAACAGTCATTACAGTCTTTTGTTGTTTAGTGTTTCTTGCTTATGTGAGAAACTCAGTCCTTCTCTCTTGCAACTATCAATTTATTTTCCTTTTTCTATACACTTGGAATTTTGACAATCAAGGCATAAAGAAAGCTTTTGATGTACACCTTCATTTTATTTCTTTGTTTCTCTAAATTAACATGGCAATTAGCATCTTTAAAGCTACTGTTAAGAAGTTGGAGACTATGTACCACAACTAAATCAAAACCTGGGCAGAACTATGCTGGAATAAAATGGTGATTGATAGAGAGTGATATGACTTCCTCCTAAGAATAGAGCCATGAAATCATCATGGCTATTCCTCAGGAATATGGGAATCAATCTTTTTAAGATCCAGCTATACCACTTTTAGGCAAATACCCAAATATTCCATCCTACTATGGAGACTCTTGCTTAACTATGCATATTGCTGCTCTGTTCATAATAGTCAGAAATTGGAAACAACAAAGAAGAACAGAAAAAGAAAATGTTGTACATTTACTCAACCATTAAAAAGAAACCCACCGGAGGGAAAAGCCATTAGGAAAGATGAGTGTGAAGATAATAGAACACATTATATGAAAGTAGTAGGGGTGGTACTGGCAGCTAGAAGGTTTCAATAAAAATTGGGACTAGAGAGATGGTGGAGAGGATTAGCGTTGGCCAGGCTCAACCAAAATTAAATATATTAGAAACTTCATTAGAGAAAGGAGGTACTTTATAAGCAAGTTTTTCAAAATTAGAAAATAAATATTTTAATAGAAAGATTTTAAAAATCAAGGAAGTCACAATGCAGTAGAGGTGATGGTGGTCTTTAAGACATGACGTGAGGTGAGTCTCAAGGCCACGTGCATGTCTTCCATCTCAACAAGATAGGCACATAAAGAGTGTTGTTGTAGAACCATCAACATCAGAGAAGTGAAGTGGAAAATATTTCAGTCAAGTCAGTGTCTTTCCATTTAGGATTTGTTATTTTCAAATTGTCAAAATCCTTTCCTGTTGGAATATGGGTGTGGGTTCCTACAGGTCTGTGAGATAAAGACACAGCTCGCCTTTAGGATGTCTCTAGTCTTTCAGGTGTAGGTGGAATCAGAAACTCTAGGGACTGAGACACCTTCCCTAAGCCAAGGGTATTTTTCTTGTTCTCCATATTTACACCTAAGCAAGTTGATTTCTGTATCCTCAAAACAACCTGACTGGACCTCCAAAGGGACAATGTCAAATACAAATACATGGTTTAGGAATATTACAATTTGCCAGATTTTTCCAAAACTAGATTTGCATATGCTTTGTACCCTTGGAAGGACTGAGACAAGATTCACGTAGAGGACAACAAAAGAAAGAAAATGTAATCGAGAAAAAGAGATGGATTAGGGCACTCAGGAGCCAGACCAGGTGTAACCCAGTGAGAGCTCTCCCACACTTTCCCAATCAATAAAGTCTTCTCTACTCTTGCTCTTAATTACCATTGCTCATAGGATTGAAAAAGAATTCTGCACCCTGTGGTCTGTTCTCTAGCTAAGGTCTTGACATGACCCACTAGGTTTGTGTGCAGGTTGCAGGTGCCTGGAGAGCATTGTGTGTTCCCTGCACAGAGGTAGACAGCTGAGTCACTAGGCTGGGAGTCTCTGATGTGCAAGGAAATATGCAGGCTATCTTTATTGAGCTGAACTGTGAATAATCCTTCTTTCTTTTCGCCATTGGAGAAGATGGGCATCAGCAACGTGGGGCCTTTCCAGGGATGCTGTCCGTACCAGCACTGAAAATTACGATCACTGAAAGTGCAGTTGAGAGAGGTCATGGCTCCCTCTAAGACGATGAGGGATTCCAGGTTCTGTTGCACCTTCTGCTGGCTGTTCACTCCTGTGCAGAGACAAAGGTCAGACAAACAGGACTGGGTGTCTATGGATGCTAAAACCCCAAAATGACTTTTCCATGGGCCTCCCACCTGCTTATTTTCAGCATGAGAACATTAGTACTTCTAACCTCCCATCTAAAATATGTGAGGGCAATACTTTCCCATATTGTATCTTCCCATAAGAACAGTCAAACTCACCCCTCAGTTGAAGCCAGAGTACCACTAGTGAAACACTTAAGGGATGCATCATTGTTTTCACTGAAGATTCACACTTCAACAGCAACAAAAAGGACTGGCACTTAGGGAGTTCTAATTCTTCTGCTATAAAATGCATGGAAAAGAAAACCCCAAACTGTTCATCCAATTAGAAAGTCCTAGTTTCCACTGTTACCTCAGAATCTCTCCTCCTCCCTCTAGCCATCCCCACAACACAGAGACACAAAGGACCATGTGAGAAATTGCCTCTGGGTCTCCGAGAAGATGCTGCCCTCCTGTGGATTCACCTTAGAATCAAAGAAATACTTTAACTGCATACTCTTCTTATGTGATGATTAAAACAAGCAATAGTTTAGTCAGATGAGAACTTTGAGACATTTGTTCAAGTTTAAGCATACACTTTTCACCAAATGACAACTTGTTTTCTGCAAATGGCAAATGAAAGTTATTCCACTAGTCACTTTTCTGTAACATTTCTGAAGAACCTCTCACAATCAAATAACAGTTTATGTTCTTTACATCTTCTCAGTATAAGCTCATATACCCCTTTATTGTTCCTTCATCATCAATGTTTATATAAATTTTCTATAATTAAAAAATCTGTTTAAAATGTAAAAGATTTAAATGTGACTTAACATATATGGTTCCAGCTCACAGCCTAGCTATATTTTATTCATCTATTTCTCTATTTATTCATTCATTTGTTTTGTGCATGTTATTTATGTGTATGTGTGAGTGTATGAAGGGTGAGAACACATCAGTGCAGGTGTTTTACATGTGTACAGATCAGAGGTTGTCCTTGATTACTCTTCACCTTATTTTTATCATTTAACATACACTTAAAAAGAACAACTAGAAAAAATTGTCCTAGATTTCACTTCTATGTCAACAAGCCCTTCTCTTCCTCCCTGCCCATCCTCTCTCACAGAGACACAAAGGGACACATGAGAAAGAGCCTCTGGGTCTCTTACTAAACCCAGATGATCATCCCAGGCTGCCTTGTCAATGAACTTCATGGACTGGACAGGCAATGTCCTCACCAGTGCTAGGGCTGCAGATGTGGGTGCAGTACTGGATAGTACATGTGTTCTGGGGATCTAGACACAGTTCTTCATGCTGGTGAGATGGGCATTTCTCTAATTGAGCCATCTCTCCAGTTCCTATTTATTTTTGTTTGTAGTAATATCTATATATTGTTATATAAATAAATATTAAAAATATTGTAATATTTTAATACACACATATCATATATGTTACTCATATTCATGTCCCATTTCACTCTTTGGTACTCAATGATGTACAATTGAGCTTATTCCATAATTTGGTTAATGTGAATAGTACCAAAACAGCATGATCTGCACATATCTTTATTGTCTACTGAGTTTGATTCTTTTAGGCACGCAACTATGAGTGCTAACGCTGGGTTATGTGGAATTTTTTAAATTTTTTATTTTATTTTATTTTATTATTTATTTTAAGTGTTTTCAGCAAAAATATTGCACTAAATTTCATAATGGCTATACTAATTTATATCCTGATAAACTACATATGAGAGTTTATTTCTCATCATGTTCACAATATCATTGCCTTTTGTTTTCTGATGATATTAATTGTTTTGGGTATAAGATGGATTCTCAGCATAGAATTTATTTGGTCAGCTGTTTCTTTACTCTGGTGGTACTAGAAGTGCTTGGATATTCAGTAACAAACATCTGTGACAGGGATACTGGGGATTATCTAGGGCAGGGGCAGTACTGTGCTCCATCCATGACACAGATAAAGAATAGAACATCCTAAGCCGGGCGGTGGTGGCGCACGCCTTTAATCCCAGCACTTGGGAGGCAGAGGCAGGCGGATCTCTGTGAGTTTGAGACCAGCCTGGTTTACAAGAGCTAGTTCCAGGACAGGCTCCAAAACCACAGAGAAACCCTGTCTCGAAAAACCAAAAAAAAAAGAATAAAACATCCTAGAAAGACTGAAGATGGAACTATGCAGAAAGAAAAAGTATAACCTTTATCTACTGGAATGGGAAGACTTGTACATCTAAGATAAGTGGGCTTTGCCTGGAGGTTTTACTGAGCCCATGTGTCTTCTCCTTCCTACTATTCATCTTGTTTAGGGTACCCACCCATGCCTTCTCACCAGTTCAAATCAAGTTGTCTTTTATTTTTCTTGCCCATCTCTCTGTACTCCTATAACACTTTCTCAGCCCTCCCTCCTCAGAGATCAACAGCAACTGCTGTCAAGGATGGAACCTTGATTGCTCTAGGTACTTAACTAGGAGATGACCTGGAATTTAAGAGGAATCACACTGGGTTTGGTTCACAGTTTAACTTGGCTTAGGAGTAAGGAGTAGCAGCATAAGCCTCTGTCCTGCATTTCCAGGAGAAATTCTATTCAGCTATTTGAGATCAAAGTGTTCTGCTCCATGGCAGCACAATCCCTTACTCCCCTTATTTCCAGTGATGGTAGGGACTCACTGCGGGTTCCATGATGGTAGCCATGGTCAAGGGATGGGAGCTCTCACTTGTAAGTGGACTCTGAGTGCTGGATGATCACAGTCATTTCCAAGTCCTTCTCTGTTATTTTTAAGCAAGTATATGACCTGAGTAGAATGTTTGTCTAATACCAGATGAAAGTCTCAAAGAAATTTAATGGGGGAACTGTCATTCATCAAGGGGATCACCTTTGTCACTGGGATGGACAAAGAACTGAGAATCCTGGACAGACAGAAGACCAAGCTGTGAAGAAATCCAATATCCCTTAGGGATATGAGGAATACTAAGGCTAGGAGGCCACTAAATGGGCTCTGGGTTGAACATTTTATAGGGCTCCTGGGTCCTCCCGTTTCTTTTACTGTTCATGATTCAGTAACTACAACCCTTCTCGTGCCTTCCTGTTATTTTCTTGGCGATGTCTTGAGAGAACAATAATCTCCATCTGAGGAATTGCAGTTTCCCTTTCTAATCTGCCTGTGTTGTTCTAACTGTCCCTTACACCTGTGTCAAAATGGGGCTTCCTTAAGTTGATGCAGTAGAAATGCAGTTGATCTCAGCACTCAGACCATAAACAACACCATGTTCACTTACTAAATTCTATTGTAACTTTTATCCTACTGAAAAGCTCTGGTCTCCAAAAATTATAAGTTTATAAATATCCTCCTGCATATTTCTTCATGTTTCCATTGTAATCTAACAGGCAAGGTATCAGAGCCCCATGTAAACCATAGCTTAATTAAGTATTCAGAAAACCAAGCAGACAAAAAAAATGTGTTTTCTTTTGTCCTACAACATGCTTCATACCTTTGCACATCCTAGCAGTTAACAGCCAGCATTGTGTCAGATCTCTTTCTGCCCAACACTCATGACATCAATTCTCACTATATATTTTCCAGTCAGATTCTTCCCTTGCCCACTAACATCTACATAAGGAATAGAATGAGGGGAAATAGCAACCATGAAATCATTCTCTTCAGTGGTACAGTGTGCTTGACAAAAGCATGACAGATACATTTCAGTACATTTGAAAACTAGAAGGTGCATGGTAATAACACATGATGGCAGCCAACACAGCTTTGGAAAACATTCGACGATGAAAAATAAAGCCTAAAAGTATGCTAGCCTGGAGGACAGCCTTCTCAGGCGTGCATTCCCAAGTTCGTCGAGAATCTGTTGAGATGGCAATGACCACCAATCACCACAGTGTCATTCTATTTCAGCCCAGAGACCTAGAGCCACTCTTGTAGTGATACTTTTTCAGTTATTGGAACACCGAGACTTATATATTTTGGAATGTCCTTATTGATTATGCTTCTGAAATAACAGTTCTATAAAATATACAAACATCCATTGACATTTTTCTGATTCATGAGAATTCAATCCTCTTGAAAATTTTATTTTATCTACTTTTTGATAGACACATAATATATTTAGATCACATCCAAACCCTACTCCCTCCTTCAAATTCTCCAGATCCATCTTCATTAGATCATTTGTCTTTATTCTATTCTTTGTAAACTTTCTCCAATTATAAGTGCCATTGTGCACATGAGCATAGATCAATCCACTGGACCAGAGACAACCTATTATGACATACATTCCTGGAGACAACTGATTCTGTCTTCTCCTGAATTATTCATGGCCTATATCTTCCAGCTACCAATGGTACCAGGTCAAAGCTCTTCCACTCATCCTGGAATGTTGATTGGCTTAACCTTTGTAGGCAACTACAGTTGCTGAGTTCATCAGTATAAGAATTCTGTCATATTCAAACAATACTATTTTATAGCAATCTTCTCAGACTTTTGGTTTTTCAAGTTTCCATCCTATTCCAATATTTGAGGCTGACCACACCACAATCAATTATTCTTTTGCCTTGGATAAGTAGTGAGAATCTGTGTTAATTATTGTCTTTTAGAACAAGAAGCTTCTCTGATCAAGGATGAGAACTGTAATAATGTATGGGTATAAAGATAAAAATTTAAAAATTGGCTTAATTCTATGTTTACTTAGCAAAAATTAAAGTAGTTCGATTCTCTTCTTGGGTGCATGCCCTTCAAATCATTTTATTTATTTTTTAATTGTTTTTATTGAGCTATATATATTTTTTCTCCACTGCCCTTCTTCCTCCTTCCCCTTCTTCCCTCCCCCATGATCCCCATGCTCCCAATTTACTCAGAAATTATTGTCTTTTTCTATTTCCCATGTAGATTGGATACACATATATCTCTTTTAAGGACCTCTTTGTTGTCTAGGTTCTCTGGGATTGTGAATTGTAAGCTGGTTTTTCTTTGTTTTATGCATAAAAGCCATGTATGAGAGAGTACATATTATATTTGTGTTTCTGGATCTGGGTTACTGCTGTAGGAATTCCTACAGCCAGTAGTTTTTAAGTTACCCACCCACTTGGGTGAGGCCATTTGAACTTTGTCTGCTGAGAATTCTCTGTTCAGTTCAGTACTCCATTTTTTAATTGGGTTAATTAGCATTTTAAAGTCTAGTTTCTTGAGTTCTTTATATATTTTGGAGATCA